GGGTATTTTGGATGCATGTGGTGTCTGTCTCAAGCTTGGGCTGATCACCCGGTTCTGATGAACTGGCATCGTCCAGTGTTTCGAGAGAAGGGCGGTCAGGAATCTGATTGTTGAATCTTTGAGTTGGTGACGAATTGGTTGGTGACTTGGTTGGGTTCTCTGGCCTCAGGGCTGTGCTCCCCCTGACTCTTCGAAGGCCCTTTGCTTGACGTGATTGTTCGTATGGCTTTGGGCATCTCTGAGTAGCTTGCCCGTAAGCATCAGCACTCTTTCCGCCGACAGGGTTGGCAGACAAGGCATTTCTGCGGAACGAGGCAGTGGAAAGGCGAGACTCAGGAAACGATTCCTCGATATCGGAATCATCGAACTCAACACGGGTAGGGATACGATGTTGTCGACCTTGCTGTGACTGTGGATTGACCATGGTCCCCGTAGAGCCAACCCCGGCCGTTGCCTCTCGTCTCTGGATGCTTCCATCGGCACCACGGAGGTACTCAGACTGAATACGCCTTCGACGGTAATCTGAGCCGTAGCCAGAGTCGCCCGAGATGCGTTCGCGAGCAGTCTCCTTGGCCGATTCGGAACGGCTTTCGAGGCTGTCGATGGAGGGAATACTCCGGCAGTGTTTCCTTGATTTTAGACTGGAGTCTGATTCCTTGCCGCGGAATGGTAGGGTTGGATGGACCTCAAGCTTGGTCGAACATGTACGCCTCCCTTCATCGATCGTAATGGCCGAAAGCTCGTCTGGGGACGCATCCATGAAAGACTCGTCTGGCTGGTATTGCAAAGCGATTGCACGGCGGGTTGCGCGGTCCATCCGGAGGAACTTGGCTGCCAGGTCGAAGGAGGCCTCTTCGTCTGTACGTGCAAAAGCGTCGTGTGATGGCTTTCGATCTCCTTTGGCGTCATCATCAACCACACCGACTGCCGTGGCAGTCCGCGCTTCAAGGTCTTGCAAGCCCATGATGGAAGAAAGCCTAGGTGATTGAGAATCTCGCACTTGCGCAGCGCGAGAAATGGCAGAAATAAGATGCGATGAAAAGAAGGCGCGCCTTGCTTCTATTATGCTCAAGGGCGCAGCTGCGCTCTTCTCTTCCTGCAGGCTGCGCCGCTTGCGCAGGGGGGCTGCTCTTGCTAAGGTCATCTGCCTGACAGGGCGGAATGACGATCTAGCCAATGATGGCAGCAGCACCCTCCATCAGCATCTCCTTCCGCGACATGGGAAACGCCTTCCGCAGATTTATGCGACATCGCGCAAAAGGTTGCGTCGCCAGCCCTGACGCTTCGAAGAGGCTGCGAGAGAGGATGACGATGGCTTCCAAGGGCGCGCGCGTGCCCTTTGACTTCTCAATTGAGCAAACCTCAACAGAAGAAGGCAGACAACGCGAGGAGTCAAGTATGGTGCATATCATCTGGTTCGCACATATATCAACAGCTGAGTCCTCAGGACAAACATGTACAGGAGTGCTGAAAAGCATCGTCAACTTCGTCATTCCGGGTTTATCCAGTGAAAACCAGTGAAAAAGCTTGCCCTGGAAGCAGTCAGCCATTGGGATCATTAAAGCCCTAACCCACCATCTTGAACATGTCTCAAAGATCCGCTCCCTCTCCGAGCACCACATCAAGTGGCCAGTGAGTAATAGTGCTTCGCGGGTATGGCTGGTATGCACGCGTGCTGACGGAGATCCACAGAGCCTGGAGCAGGCCCTCAGCGCCGATGCTGGGGTCTTATCTCACAGCTCCCCCGCAGCTATCAGACGAGCTGTTCCATATCGCGGCCACCGCGCCTTCAAACCACCACATCTCGACCTCCAGGCACAGCCAAACTCGGCAAAGCCTCGCTGCCTGGAACGCACAGTGGAGCCAAGCAGGCCGGTCGACTTGAAGTGGTCGGCCAGCGCGAGGGGCGCCTGGCGCCTGATCGCGTGTAGGATCAAATGCGACCCTGCCATGGCGAACCAGTTGGTGGTGTGTGGTGGGGTTTTCCATCAGACACGAAAGCGTGTGCGATTTGTTAGTTGTTGGTCATGCAAAACGACCCGGGGCGTTGATGAATTGGCGGATGTGATAGGCGAATGGGAAAAGGACTGTGAATTATCACCAGCAATGACGGCATGCAGGAGGGAGAAAACGGGCATCCATGGATGTGGAAGGAAGCCCGTGTTGTACGATTGGCAGTTGGTTTGGTGGGGAATAGATTAGAGGCCGGGGAGTGGGGCCTACCGCGATAGCTTGTGTACGATAATGGCATTAGGGCTGCTGAGACACCCGGTACAGGCATAGATGCCCCGCGAAATGCTTCCCTTCTCACTGCGGAAGGTCATCCGTCTTTTCCGACTTATAAACGACCGCCCCCTGGTGCCGCGTCTTCTTCCTCTTATATTTACGCCTGAACTCGCTTTGGGACTTTGGGAGAATACTCGCGGCGACCAGAAAATCCCCCGATTCTCTTCGCTTCGACCACACGATTGCCATCATTGCCCACCCATTCTCACCACTCATTAGCCCCCTGAGCGCCCGCCATGCCTTCTCTCATTGACCTTGCCCAGCTCGCCAGGGGCCTCATAGGTCCCTGGATTTTCCTTTCGTATTCCTTCTACTACCTCCCTGGCACCATCATCCGTCTGATTCGCGCCGGTGATTTTGGCCGACTCCTCTCGTTGTCTCGTCTTCGGGATGCCTGGTTTTATGCCTTCTGGGGCTGGGCCGGGCCAAACATCCGTGCCGGCAATAGTGACCGCATGGTTGCTCTCCTCGAAGGCCGTGTGACCGGCGCCGATGTAGTCAAAGACCCCGTTCACCCTCCTGTGAATGGCGTCGTCTTGGAAATCGGCCCTGGCTCCGGACTGTGGGTAAGCCTCTTCGCCAAGGACAAGCCTGCCACCATGGCTGCCGGTGGTGTGAGACGCAGAGTCGCCGATGGCGTGACGAAGGTGTACGGGGTTGAGCCCAACACCGAGCTGCATCCAGCCCTGAGGAGAAGTGTGAAGGAGGCAGGTCTAGAGGGTACATACGAGATTGTCCCCGCGGGTATTGAGTCGTTGAACGACCCGACCGTGTGGGGAGGCAAGATCGAGAAGGGCAGCGTCGATTGCATCGTGTCTATCCTCTGCTTGTGTGGTATCCCCGAGCCGGAGAAGAACATTTCCGAGCTGTACTCGTACCTCAAGAAGGGCGGGAGGTGGTACTTGTATGAGCACGTCGAGGTGTCGGTCAACGAGCCGCTTCGGCTTTACCAACGTAAGTCGGACCCAAACATACGCATGAAAACGGGACGCTGATCGTGTGTTTGCATGCAGGGTTCATCAACCTCGTATGGCCTCGCGCCTTGAACGGCTGCGAGCTGTGCCGAAACACCCGCAAGACGCTGGAGTCTGTAGGACCCTGGGAGAAGATTGATGTCGCGCGGCCACCGATTGAGCCATGGTACCAGCTAGTACCACACATCTTTGGAACTTTTACCAAGTAAAAGACGTTCCTCAGCGACAATTTTGAAAGCGGAAGACGGGATGGTTCCTTCTCCAACTGAGGGCTGCCCGACAAGTCATTGACTTGAGGGGCGGCGAGCCTCCAGGTTCACTGCCACCGAGTGGTCGAGGACGGGAGGAATCTGCAAGCACAGTGTCATCCATGTACAAAGTATGATAGAAACAGAGTCTCTGTTGTCCGAGTGTTTGCTCTTACCGTTGCCACAATCCAGTGTCCCCTACAGCACCCAGCCTGACAAGAATCATACAGTACGGCCCGAAGACGGCCCTCTTTCCTCGTGGCCGTTCCCTTGAGGGCAAGCAAGCTCGTGCTTGGATCGTCACGTTCCTCACGAGAAGGAAACTGCTCCCTGGACCTTCCGCACCGAAGTCAGACCGAGCCTTCCATTTGCAAACTACCGTCGCACAACTAAAGAAGGAACTCTCTGAGGGTAGCTGCATGTTGATTGTTGACAGATGCACTATATAATCTTTGCTTCTCAATGTCTGCTCTTTGCCAATTTTCTCCCCCCAAACAACATCTTTTCCCAGATCTCCCCATTCTCCGCTACCACTGACGGTGCATCATTGCTTGCTCAGCATACTCAGCCTTGTTGGTATCGCTCAGACTTATTGTTGTTCAGCTTAGCGTCGCGTTTCCACCTTCTATTTCTCATCCACAACACCATGCTCTTCACGGGTGCCACCTTGCTGGTCGTCGGCTTCGCGGCCACACTCGCCAGTGCAGCTCCACCCAATGCAGCCCATGCGGCTACAGATATCTCCAACAGCTGCGATGCCGCGATTTCGGACAAAAGATGCTGCTTCGCTCTCACGGTCAAGCAAGATTTGGGCAACGGAAAAGTACAGGATTGGGGCTACGTCAAGGAATCCAAAACCGGCCAAATCTTTGTCGGATTCGATATCAACTCATATCCACAGGGACACTTTTGTTTTCATGGCGACCCAACCTTTGAGGGAACCGATGGGATACAGGACGGCATAAACAAGTTCTGCGACTTCAGCCCTAGACACGAGGGGATTTTCAGCTGCTTTGGCATGGGATCACCGAGATTCGGCACCACCAAGACAAAGCTGTCTGATGGGAGCGAAATCGTCATCCTCACACTTGATGGAGTTGATTCTTTCAGTATCTGCCCAATTGATGCGAAGAAGTCACTCTTAAGCCTCGTCAACATTAACATGTTCCCCACTGATGGCTGTCATGGAATTCGCCTCGCACTGAAACCGAAAACGCCCGATACTTGCCCCAAGTAATTCTAACATGATTCCGAAATCCTGGTATACAAAAAAAAACCATGAAGGGAATGCAAGACGCGAGGGGGTTAGGGAGACGGTGGTGCTCGTGGGGGCGGATGAAGACATGATCAGAGAGTATCCATACACGCATGAATACAAAACATTCTTTATTGAACCTGATTCCCTACTTGACGTCCGAGGACTGTAACTTTGCGTTCAATTTCAAGAATTAAGTTCATTATTAAGTCACACGTTGCTACCTACCAATCTCCATCATGACTGTGCCATCGTCATGGGGGTCAAGGGTTGAGCACCAACTCTCTTCGCTTCCTCGTTAAGAGCATCCACCTCAGCCTGTACCAACGGGATGCCAGTCTTCTCTCTCTCCTGCTGATTGAGTTGCTCAATCTCACCTGGGAAGTAGATGCGTTCCACACCAGCTGCCTTGTCTGAGCCAACGACACGCTGGTACAGGTAATCCATCCTCTCCCTAAAGTCATCCAAGCTCATGAACAGGTCCGGCTTGATGGCGACCAAGAAGTGGCCCACGTCTGCCGGCTTCGAGGGGTCATACGGATTTGTTACATGTCCCGCGAAAGCAGATCCTGACAGCACCCCCGAAAACACGTCCATCATGATGGACAGCGCCGAGCCCTTCGGCCCGCCCATGGGAAGCATGACACCCCCCAGCGCAGCCTCCGGATCATCCGTCGGGCGCCCCTCCGCATCCAACGCCCAGTCCAAAGGAATCTTCTCGCCCCGCCTCTTGGCCTTGTAAATCTTGCCCCTCGCCGCCACCGACGGCGCCATGTCGAGAATGAACGGCTTGTCCTTCCCCGGCGCGCCGCACGCGATCGGCGAGACGCCCATCAGCTTGCTCTTGCCGCCCCAAACCGGCAGCGCGGGGCTGGAGTTCGTGAAGACGAGGCTCATCATGTCGGCGTCGATAGCCTGCTGCACGACCCAGGCGCTCATGCCGAAGTGGTTCGAGTGCTTGACGCTCGCCATGCCGATGCCGAAGACCTTTGCGGACTCGATGGCGGCGGCCATGCCCATGCTCGCGGCGACGAAGCCGAAGCCGTTGCGCCCGTCGACCTGGGCGACGGCGGGGGTGATCTGGGTGAGCTCCGGCTCAGCGGCGGCGTTGAGGACGCCCTGGCGCACGCGCTCCATGTAGGAGGGGATGCGGTTCATGCCGTGGGTGTCGACGCCGCGAAGGTCGGCGGCGACGAGGCAGCGGGCGACGGTGGCGGCGTTGGGGGCCGGCACGCCGTTGCCTTTGAGGATATCCTCGACGAGGCGGCGTGCTTCGGGTGCTGAGATGTGGATTTTGGGTTCTGTTGCGTCTGCCATTTTGGTGGTGTTTTCTTCGTTTTGGTGATACTGTGCAGTGAGGTCGTACTGTGCAGTGAGGTCGAGCAGATGCTGGCCTTTGAAACACCAGGGACTGTAAAGGAGAATGCTGGTAAATGGTTATTGTTACGATGAAATTTAATGAGATGTAATGGGTATTATGAGAACCCCAGATGGTGTTTTACCTCACAAGACTTGACATGAGTCTCGTGATCAACATGTTTGGACGTACAGTTGCGTTGAGTGGCCGCCAACTGTGCGGGATTAGCCCGACCCAACAAAGTCTTGCTGCGGGGTTTCCCCGCGCCAGTCTCACCTCCGTCTTTTTTCAACCTCACCTCTACGTGCCCACATCGGACATTTCCCGAACATCTTCAACCTCTTGCTTGACAATCCATCTCGACCGTTCCCGAAACCCGCATTTTCGGACTGTGAACATCATCACCTGCAGTCTCCGGAACATGCCCGATTCGAACACCTCCCGGCCGCCGCCAAGCCGCCAACCGCGGAGGACGGCCCGGCTGCGTCTGGCGTGCGCCCGTTGCCAGAGGCGGAAGATCCGTGTAAGTGAGGGTGGATCGCGGTTCTCGGCCGGGTGTTGCGGAGTGGAGTTTGCTGATTGGGTGCAGTGCGACGGCCAGCTTCCGGCTTGCAACAATTGCAAGAAGGCTTCGGTTGCCTGTATCGACGGAGAGAGTGTGCGTCTGAAGGACCTGCCGAGGGCGTGAGTGCGTTTGCTACACTCTTGGGAATCTGAGTCTGACGAAAGCAAAGGCAAATATCCAATCTCAAAGACCGTATCAGATGGCTTGAAAGCATAGTCCGAGACCGATGTCCTGATGTGGACTTGGCTCAAGGCCCATCCAGTGATCTGGACATGGATGCTGATGGCGATGACACCTTCGTCGCTGAGACAACAGTTGACGATGGTAGTGTGCAACCGGAAGACCACATGAGCGCACCCGATTCCAATGGATCTGGACTTCATCAATCAGTGGCTCCCGAAAATGCGCCCATCCCGCAAACTCGTCCAGACGCCCGCGTGATTGATCCCTCAGCAAGCAATGCCCTATCACACGAGATTGGCATGGTATCTCTGGGCAGCAACCAGGACCCCAAGTACATCGGACCTTCCAGTGGGTACTTCCTGGCCCGTCTGATGCTGAATTCCACGCGCCAAGAAGACCAGGCAGCGTGGCCCTCTAGGACGCCGGCGCAAAACAGCCCGTTCCCGACGGCACTCGTCGAGGCGATGCAAGGCCCGCTTCCACTGCCAGGCAAGGAACAAGCCCGCCAGCTCGCCGAGATGTACTTCGACGTCATCAACGTGCAGTACCCCATCCTTCACCAGCCGACGTTCATGATGCTGCTGGACCAGGTGTATGAGAATGGCCTGGAGGCGGAGCATGGCCCGACGGGTGCCTTCCAAGTCTTCATGGTGCTGGCGCTCGGAGCCACGGTTCTGTCCCGCCGGACGAGGGCTAGGCTTTCTGGGGAATCATACTGCTTGTCAGCCCTGCAGTATTTCGATCGCATCAACGTTGAGAACTCCATTCGCGGGCTGCAATGTCTGCTGCTACTGACGATATTCACCATGCACAGCGCGTGTATGCGTCTGGATGTGTGGTATCTCAACTACCAGTGTATAGCTGCCGTTCTTGACTTGGGTCTTCAGCGAGATATCAACACCAATGCGGGAATTTCTCTGCTAGAGCAAGAGATGAGGACGAGGATATTCTGGGTCGTTCTCACCCTTGACAGGATGATTGCTACGATGATGGGACGACCTATTGGGCTGCGAGACGAAGCCTGCGACCTTCGAGTGAGTACCTAGTTCATTTGATCTAAGACAAAGACGTTGCTAACTTTCCGATAGCTGCCCCAAAACATCGACGACTTCGCACTGCACAATTTTGGCCAACCGGCTGGATCTGCACCAGTGGGCCGCATGGCTTTTTCCATCCACCTGTTTAGACTAGCCAAGCTCAACTCAGAGTTCAAATACGTCGCCAACAGCATTGTCCGCGACACCCCTCGATATGCCTACCCCGCAGTCATCGACATCAACGAATGGCAAAATGGCATGCTTCAGCAGTTGGATGAATGGCACAGCACCATCCCTCAACACCCTGGGATGGAGTATGTTCAAATCGTCTGCCAGATTAGGTATCACGGGCTCCGGATGCTACTCCTACGTCCCAGTCCTGCGATACCCAACCCTTCATCGGACTCCTTACGCAAGTGCTTCGATGCCGCGTGCCAGGGCGTCCGTCTCCTGGACCAGCTATACAAGCAAAACATGCTGATGCACGCTTGGAACACGCCTCATTCAATCGTTTTGAGTATCATCACCATGCTGTATTGCATCAAAATGGTGCCCGAGATTGCTCGTCAAACAGCGTTGGACTCACTCATGTCCGACTTCAGTGCCGGACTGGGGGTCCTGGCTGCCACCGGAGAGCATTGGTCTGGAGCGAAGCGGTGCCGAGACATTCTCGACGACATGATTCGCGCCACTGTTCGTTGGATCAAGGACATTTTGAGCCAACCTGCCACGTTGGACGTGCCGCAACATCGCAGGTCCTCGCGTCTGGAATCTACACAGGCACCACCGCTCAACCCGTACGATCCCAATCTCAATGGTGCTTCAGCAGGCAGAATCGGCTTCTCTGAGAGCCTGTCTCACCCGATTACTATGGCATCAATGACCTCAAACGGCCCAGAGGCATTTCTACCCCAAGACCCGTTCGAGTCGTTCTTGTCTAACACAGCTTTCGGAGACCAACTGCAGATGGGGGAGGGATCGAACTTGGATAGCATCATGCGTGGTCTTTTTGACGACTTCATACCGACATACCCTAGCTTCTCTTGAGCTGATTGCGGCAATTTACAATAATCTTGTACAGGATAGTGTTTTTCATATGGCACATTATAAATATCTAACGATTCCCAAGTCATAGCCCTCGTGATGGACCGCGAGCCGTTAGGAAGTCAAAGTCTCCGCCACCCTCAGCCTGATTAACCTCGCGCAAGTACAAGCCGCGGTAACCCCTGATCCGCTTCTTCGCGATCCAAGGCGCGTTACTCCCACCATTTGCCTCCTCCTGCTCTAGTACCTGGAGCTTCTCGGCTATCCTCTTCTTGATCTCCTCATCTGAGATTTCGACCCGGATCACGCGCTGCTCCGCGTCAAACGTGATGATGTCGCCGTCCCTGACAATCCCCAACACTGACTCGGGATCAGCTGCCTCCGGAGAGATGTGAAGCACGATGGTCCCGCCAGCGGTACCGCTCATCCTGCCGTCCGACAAACGCAACATATCCTGCACGCCCTGCGCGGCGAGTTTCCTAGGAATCGGGATCAGGCCTGCTTCCGGCATGCCCGGGTTTCCAACCGGACCGATATTTTGCAAAACAAGCACACTATCCGGAGTAACGTCCAAGTCTGGATCGTCAATCCGAAGCGCCATGTCCGCGGACCCTGCGAACACGACCGCGGGGCCGGAGTGCTTCAACAGATGCCGGTACTTTGACGCGCTCTGCTTGATCACCGCGCCGCCGGGCGCGATATTCCCGCGGAGCACAGCGAGCGCAGACGCCGGGTACAGCGGCTCGTTGAACGGCTGCAGACAGTTAACCAAGCTGTCCCGCGGCACGGGGATGAAAGGCGTGTTCGCGAGCTCCTCGCCGAGCGTCCTGCCCGTGACCGTCATCGCATCCAGGTACAACAGGTCCTTGATCTCGTGCAGGAGCGCGAGCATGCCGCCGCTGTTGTGGAAGTCGGTCATGTAGTTGTCGCCGCTGGGCTTGAGGTCGACGATCAGGGGCGTCTTGCGGCCGATCTCGTCGAAGGTGTCGAGCGTGATGGTGCCGGCGACGGCCGGGTGGCGGCCGATGATGGCCATGAGGTGGACGACGGCGTTGGTGGAGCCGCCGATGGCCTGAAGGACGGTGATGGCGTTGAGGAAGGACTCGCGCGTGAGGAGGTCCTGGGGCTTGAGGCGCTTGGTGTGCAGGGCGACGGCGAGGCCGCCTGTTTGCTCGGCGATGCGGAGGCGGGCGGAGGAGACGGCGGGCGCGGTGGCGCCGGCGAAGGGCATCATGCCGAGGCCGACGAGGATGCAGGCCATGGTTGAGGCGGTGCCCATGACGCCGCATGTTCCTCCCTGTAATATTGGATGACTAAAGTGATGCCATGGAGGTGTTGTGGTTTGTACTCACTGTTGGTGCAAGCTCGTCATTGATGGCGGAGATGTCTTCGATATCAATCTTCCCAGCTCTGTATGCTGCCCAGTTGTTGCGGCAATCTGTGCATGCGCCGATTCTTACACCCTTGTGGCTGCCCGGCATCATTGGCCCTGTCACCAGATGCAAAATGGGTTTATTTGCAGAGATACCACCCATCAACTGAGCCGGTGTCGTCTTATCACATCCTATCCACCCGTCAGCCCCAGCACCATCCGTCTCAGACCACACATCTTACCTCCAATCAACACAACAGCATCACACGGCTGCGCCTTGATCATCTCCTCGGTGTCCATGCTCATCAGGTTCCTCAGGTACATGCTCGTCGGCGACGCGAAGCTCTCCGCGATGCTGATCGTGGGGAAGTCGATCGCCAGGCCGCCGTTGAGCTGCACCCCGCGCTTCACGGCCTCGATCAGCTGCGGCACGTTGGCGTGGCACGGGTTGAAGCTCGAGTACGTGTTGACGATGCCGATGATGGGGCGCGAGAGCGCATCCTCGCTGTAGCCGAGGGCCTTGATGAAGACCTTGCGCAGGAAGAGGGAGAAGTGCGCGTCGCCGTAGGAGGTGAGGCCCTGGCGGAGGCCGGTCGAGTTGGGGTCGATTGGGGTTGAGAGGTCGTAGTCACCTGTTACAGGCTTCTTTTGTTCTGCCATTTTTGCTTACCCTTCTCGTTTTCTCAATTTGGATTTCGATGTTGGATTTTTTGGTGTTAGTTGGTCTGCGATTATAAGGGACGGTCACGTCATGAGGAGTATTAGTATTCCTGGTTTTATGGTTGGCTAGATGACCTTATCCGCGGGCCCGGTTGAGGTGCGGGGACTCCGCATGTCGTGATCCCGACGGTAATAGGACGGCCGAGGGACTCGGAGTCTTGTCCGTGGCGGGCGGACTTTCTCCGCTTGCATGCGACTTACAGCAAACTCTCGTCGAGAAGCTTGCTTGATGGCCGTGGCATTCGCGGAGCATTACTATGCGTATTATGTGTGCGGTTCGTTGTGAGTATAAGTTAAGCTGTTGAATCGAGTGAAGCAATTATGATCGTCTTGACCCAGCTTCAACATCCCATTCATCGTCACTGAAGCCCCGTCTTTTCCGACCCTTTTCCGTCACCACTTACACCACACTCATGCTCGACCTCAGAGGAAAAGTCGCCCTCGTCATAGGCCTTGGCCAAACCGGCTCAGAAGGCTGGGGTATCGGGGCCGCCTGCGCCGTCACTTTTGCAAAGCAGGGCGCCGTCATCTTTGGCGGGAACCGCACTATCGAGTCAACAGTCAAGACAAAGCAGGCCATTGAAGAAGTCGAAGGCGTCTGCGATGTTGTGGCTACCGATGCCACTTCTTCCGAGTCTGTGAAAGCGCTCGTGGACGCGTGTCTGGCAAAGCACGGCCGCATCGACATTCTCCTGGCAAACGTCGGGCAATCCCAGCCCGGCTGCCCTGCAACCATGTCCGAGAAGACGTGGGACTCCCAAATCGAGATCAATCTCAAGACTGTATACTTAGCATGTCACCATGTTCTACCTGTGATGGAGAAGCAGGAGACGGGCGGGAGCGTTGTGTGCATATCGAGCATTGCGGGATTGCGGTACATCGGGAAGCCGCAGGTCGCCTACAACACGACCAAGGCGGCGATCATGCAGTTCGTCAAGGCGACAGCCGTCATCTATGCCCCCAAAAAGGTGCGGCTAAATGCCGTTGTTCCGGGGTTGATGGAGACGCCGTATACCAAGAGTTTGGCATCGAGGTTTCCGATGGAGGGCGGGTATGAGGCGTTCAAGAAGATGAGGGATGAACAGGTGCCGATGGGGAGGATGGGGGATGCGTGGGATGTTGCGAATACGGCGGCGTTTTTGGTCTCTGATGAGGCGAGGTATATCACAGGGCAGAAGATTGTGGTTGATGGAGGGATTACTTCTTCTACAGGACGGACATGAATTGAAGATTGTTACCAGGTGGCGGTGCTTTTTGTCCTGCTCGAACCCTGCACATGTCACCTCTTGCCAGATTTCAGATGCGTATTTCATAAGAGACGAGTGGGACTACAAACATTATGCTTAACGCACCGGGGAATGTTTCTGTCGCTAACCGTATCAGATAAGCCCTGGTTCCAAACGCGATGTATATGTAGCTGAAAGGGACAGTAAGGGTGTCGGCGCGAAGTTTATACACCTCTGATAAAAGCCCTGCCACTCATGTCTTCACTACAGTTTCTCTATGTGCCTAAATAATAATTATGTCCTCCACGTGTTGCTGGTAGGCTGCAAGGAGTTCTAGTTCAGAGAACCTTTTGCGATGTCTGTCCGAAAACCATCCTATTCTCTTGTAAATGCGGTCCAGCTCACTTACAGGAGCTAAGATAATGCAAATGAGGTCGGTTTCCTTGGTATACGTTGAATCCCCACTCCCCGAGCAATTGCGCTCTTGGGCGTTGAGAACTAGGAAATTGATTGTACCACGCCCCTTAAATTGGATTTCTGTAGTGTCTGGAAAGGGCAACACAGAGATCGGATGGGCGTTTTTGTCTTTCAACTGAATCAATATCTGTCCCGCAATCGACTCTTGGCTATAATGTCCAGCGATCAAGGGACCCCTCAACTTAATGTACCCTCCGGTAACGTCGACAACATCTTGTTTCCCGCTTCTTGTCGTAACATCCACATCTAGGACTGAAACCTGAAAGTGGAAGTCAGCCGCGGTCATATTCATCTTGAAAGGCCCATCAACCGATGCCCAAGACCAGGAAGGCGCCCGATATTGAGATGACAGCCTTGGCTTTGGAGTGAAGACGGTCCAATTCAGCAAATCCAAGACCCGTGACCGCCATAGACCCGCGAGATATCTGTCACCGGTCACCTCCTGGAAGAGCTTGGCGATGCCCGAAAAGGCGTAGAGCTTGTCCTCTGGCCTCGTGAAGCGGCATTGGGAATAGGCCGTGACAAGATCGCGCCATAGTTCCAGCGCGTCGTAAGCCATGTTGTGGTCGTCAAGCCCTCGTTCCTGTGTTTTATCCAATTGTTTCCTCTCCTCAAATGGCTGAAGTAGTCTTTCAGTATCCTTGAAAGATATATGGAGGGGAATACCTCGAGGAAAGCCCTCACACTTGTGTTCCTCAAGACACTCCCACAGAACCTGATGTTGTGTAAAGTAGAGCTGGCGCGGCCCCAGGAAACGTTCTTGGAAGACCCAGCCCCTGCGATGAAGTGAACCCCCGAGAAGGTGGCGATCCCAATAGCTTTTATCAAAGATATAGAATGTTTCAGGGTGACCTGACGCCAGAGTCGAGGTGACCAAACCAGGCCGAATATCTCGCCCATCTCGAGACCGGAAAAGTCCTCCATCGGCGTCATCTGACGCAGAAGCGGCGATGTTACAAGCCGCGTTTGCGTATATATGCCGCATCTCAGGAGCTTCAGCCTCCCAATCGTCTCGGGAGTCTTGAATGATGCATAGGCAGTCAATCCATATGTATCGAATGCCCAATCGCCGTGCCACAATAACTGTATCTTGGAATGTTTTGGGCAGACTAGAGATCTCTACTCCTTGTCGGAATTGGCTCATTGTAGACGATGTCAAGAGCTCGTGCTGGACATCGTTTCCCCAGCGGTAGCTCAGAGTCAGATACAGAAGAGATTCAGACAATATCGCATCTGTGCTTGTGATCAAAAGCTTCCATTGCGTATCCCCATGAGATCCAATGTCTATAAGACGTGACGGAAGCCAGCCCTCTGTCTGTCCAGGATGAGCCTTGCACTTCCTTGTATGGCGAGATGTGCACTCGCGAAACCAGGAATAAGCCAAGTCAAGGGTTTGTGAAGATCCGGTGCTTTCTTCGATGTCCGAGAACACGAATGAGTTCTCGTATTCACTTCCTATGGTTATTGTCAGTAACTGCATAATCATGAGCTCGTTGAAAGCGAGCTGTGTGGGCACGCAGTCGTAATTTGCGTACCTATTGATGGTATCAACCTAAACCGAACATCGGTGGCCTGCTCTATTTGTTCTCGTGTTGGATCATTGTAGAGGATCCAGACTCTGATTTGATGCAGCGTATCCTCAGGATACTCTTCTTTGTCGATGATGTAGCAGAATTGACTCCAACTTTCCGGGGGCAGACAATCCCACGCTCGCCGATGCTGCTCGGAGAGATTCCATACTTTAGCACATATAAAACAGTCATCAGCGGCAGCCTTCCGAAAACGTTCCAAACTCTGGCCTGGCGGCGTGCATGTGGCGTCACGGCCGATCCGACCACTGCTGGTCTGGATGACCTGCGTGCAGATAGAACATAGCCAGCTGTTTGGTCGAGACATTGCGATATGGATCTAAAGGCTGCTTTTTTGGTACGACATCGTTCAGCTTGATAGATTTGTCGGAACACTTGAGCTATCAGTGTATTTGCAAAGTAAACCAACAATCATGATCGCGGTAAGAGGCTCGGTTCTGCAGTTCTTGACCCCGCTCTCGCACGAATGATTAGCCCCGCAACTCTTGTAATCACACACTGCCGCAGCGTCGTCCAATCCCAGGTAATCGAGTTGCCACTGGGAATTCCTTTGTGAAAACACCTCAATAGCACAAACACATTGGCTGCACCATTAACAATGACCTGTCTCCTGATGCTGGCTGTACATATTCTTCTCCATACTGACCCACTTGGCTAGACTCTCCAGGATTATGCCGCCGACGACCCCTACCCGAACTGCGAAACCACCTATTGTTGCTCTGGCTGATATGTCTGCCATCGTGCCCATCTTGGTCTCGAGCCACCACGCCTTGTATTTGATGGATGAGATATATGTTCTACGCCTTCTTGATATGCCTGAAGTAACTTATGTAATGACGCTGTTGAAGCTGGCTATGCTTCTCCAATTGAAACAGCATTTAGTGTAAACGGCGGTGCGGCGGTAAGTTGGCATGACGGGCGATAGTGGAAACTGTTAGTCGACGGTACGTACTCACTACGTCAGATGTCCCTGGTGATCTGTTTGCTGAGGTGACGGGTGCCGCCACGGGTGGCGTCCAAAAACATTCGTCATAGGCTTGGCTACAAATGGCTCCATTTCGGCCGTTGCACGCGCAGACCGTGGATGTCGCTGACAATTTGAGAGTGAAGACAAATCTTATCTTATCAATCAACGCTCGTCCGTCACATCTCTATCTGACTGGGCTAATGCCCACTACTGGTTCTCATATCAGGATGCCTCAGCAATCGCTACTAGCTGAAACACTGCATATCAACCCACCCTGCGGTATCCGATGCCATCATCACGGCTCATTGCTGCAGCCTGCGTCCTTACCAGTCGCCATGGCAGCCGTCTCTGCTGCTCGAACTCTTTAGCCCGTCCCCTGTCGCGTACCGCATCTCCTTCCTCTACTAGCCCAAGACGATCTCCTCACAACACTCCGAGACGAAACCGAGGTGCCTCCTGGGAACAAACTCGCAATCCTCCGACTTGAGATGAGCCAAGTCTCTATCCACGGCTACGTACAAGGTCATCAATCCTATCGTTCCCAACGAGGCAAAAGTGATCGACGCGCCCTGCCTGATGAGGATGAGTTGCTTGCTTAGAGCGCTATGAAAAGTACGGCTTCTGATCTGCGGTGACGCCTCAAGGACAACCTGTCGCCCCACACCCGAAAGGCGCTTTGTGAGAGGCTGCAGAGCTTCATGATGACGCCTGGCGGCCAGGTGCGATTGGACTCCCAAGGGAAGATATCATGCCCCAACATCCTAAACAAGGAAGTGGTGGGCTGAAACTACGAAATGGTTGCCACTTTGGACAACATCCATCGCTGCGTCGTCGCCGCGTAGTTAGCGGTCAAGAATGACGATGGAAACCCATCAACCAGCCGAACGGGCAGGCTCAAGCTTTCCCGTCCAACTTTGTCGGTGGCGCAACCAAGATGCCGAGGCAAAACACCCCCCAACCCCCAAGCTATGTGATTCTCATCGTCATCTACGTTCGTTGAAAGGCGTCGCCTTTTGCTAACCGCCAAAGCCTAGCTCCCACCCCGATCCACCTGCCCCTGTGCAAGACCGAGACTTGCATCAGAGAAGCTGGGAAGCGTCTCTGAAGTCAAGTTATCGTCTCTATTGCCCCTGGATACTGCCAGACCGCATGGTTTCATTACGAATGGTTTCTTTCACAAAGTGCAGAACCTGAATGCGGTTGTAGCACCTGGATGCGGTTGTGGGCGCATGTAATTACACCGGTAATGACGCCTGATTGTTGGCACAATCTAGAATTGAGAGCATCATTGATAGTCTATCTGCTCTCCTAGCAGTGGTCACATACTAGTCTTGTCACTGCCATTTACACGAACCCAGAACCCGAGGATAGAGGCATGAATGAGCAAAGTTTTACCTTTACGTAAATGGGAAGGCAAGCTTGCCACTCAAATTAGAATAGCAAATATCACTAGACCTCAGCAAGCCACACAAAGCTATGCGTGAAAACAGTGACAGTCGCTTGCAGCTTCTCAGCGGGGTTCATGCCTCACATCATGCGACACACTCAGATCATAAACCAACCTCCAAAAAACTGACACATCATTTTATGTACCACATCAGCTAGCCACAATTTTCAGCTCCGTTGGATAGAATCGGCATATCCATCCCAATGCAAACTTTCGCCATGAAAAGGGCATTCGCTGCTCAACTGCCCAAAAAGGTGAGCCCCATTCGGTCAGTTGCAGCCGAATAGAATTGGTAACTAAGAAACAGGTCGTCCGTCTTATGCCGCAGAGTCGCACCAGCTAGCCACATTAATCCCCGCCTTTCCTGAGATGGACGTGTGGAACTCCTGCTATGCTATAGCTCTTTCCCCAGTTGATCAGTATTTCTGTTGATCTGTTCTAATGAATTCATCCTGTAAGGTAAGACTGAATGTCATTCCGAACTTGGTGAATTCTGGCGGGCTTCAGATATGTCACAGAATATGGCTGAAATTAAAGTTTTGCACGCTTTCAGACACAGTAGCCAAAATGATTATGGCGGCACTTGCTCATAATAACCATAAACTCGATCCATGTCTTAGCAGCCTCCAGACTTGCGGATAGCTGAGATCTAACTTCTTGTGTAAGCCTTTGAAACCACCATCAAAGCTGATGAGGCATGTGGTGGCAGCTTGTGTGGCTGGCTGAGGTCTAGACATGCATCCCGAATGTGACTCCTTGCAAGCGCGCAGTCTGGAATGATATGTACTGTCTTTGAGACCCTATTCGCTCTAGATTTCTCAAGTATCTTCTCCGCGGCCCTTTCCAGAGATTCCATTTGCAAATCTGTCACTAATCCCATGCTTTCAAGCATTCTGTGTATGCGTCAGACGTCAATCAGATATCTAAGAGCGCATCGAGACCACGTTGATGGTCAATAGTGTGTATTCTGTCTAGTAAATGTGGCTTTTGCTCAGCTGAATCAGCGAGCGATGACACAAAGATGCATGCTTCAATCCCAGAGCTTAACCTCATCCAGATTCTTCTGTTCATTTGCTTTATGCTAGTGTGCATACTGTGCACTAGTTGCCTGATTCTGGTCATCATGGTGATCAGACTCGTCACCATCTACTCCCAGCAAGTCCCACATACCAAGGGAGAGGAGAACAAGAAGGAGGTTAAGGAGCAGGTCAAAAAAACTATAAAGAAGTTGGGCGAACCCGTCCAAGGACTCCTACATTCAGCTCAAGATCATCTCAAGCAACAAAAACATCATCTCACACAACAATCAATCTCTCCATTCTGCCATCCTTCATCCACAATGTCTTCTCCTTCTCACATTCAGGTATTTTTCAGCCCTGACCCCACAAACTCTGCAAATATGCTAACAACCTAAACTAGCATCTTGTAGCTGTTGCTACCCCCCAGGCCAACACCATTCTCTTCCAAGTCGACAAGGACTACAACTTGTGCTTCTACGAGAGCTCGACTCCTGATGAGACTGAGGGCGAGAAGTATGATTTCAAGACTCTCAAAGTCGACGGTGGCGTGGTCAAGGTCAACGAAAAGCTCCCCGTCATTGCCGCCGTTGCATTCTCGCTCCAAGGCTACTGCAACGGCGAAGAGCAGGTAAAAGCCATAAACTCGCTTATCTAACTCATCCTTACTAAGCTTGTGGCCCATAGGTGCGACTCTACTACGTCTCGAGGGACAACAAATTTCTCCGCGAGCTGCAGCGTGCAGGCGGAGTCAAGGGGAAGTGGAAGGTTGGAGAGAAGTTCAACAACAAGAACTACCGTATTGCTGAGGGAAGCGGCTTGACGGCCAACGTGTTCCAGCTCGGCCAGGCTAGATTTGCCGTCAAGGTTTACTACCAGGAGAGCAACGACGACATGTTTGCGGATGTTGTCTACAACATTGTGGGCAGCAACGAATGGAGCACCCGACCTAACGTCACCGAAGCCTGAAGTACCGTCCACGATGAGTCTGACTCGGATTCATTGCAAACATGTCAGGCAGTACTTCTCATATGTGGATATGCCATGCGCAAGGATTGCATATCCATAGTATACAGTTGCACTATGTACGCCTGAATGTTCTGATGTCGCATTTCAGGAGCGACACACCGACTTTCTTTCTATCATCATCATTATCGTTGCCTACCATCATTGACATCAACATGAGTTGAACAATATACAAACTCATTCAATTATCCCCCATATTGGCTGTCCGATACGCACTTTCGTGACAGTTTGTTGCAAATCACGACATAACTACAGAGGCTTGGGGTGTCCTCATAGCACGTTCAAAATTGGTTGATTCGAGTCGCACTGGCAATACACAAGTCCTTGTAGGCTTCTTTGAAGCCGGTCAGGTCCTGGCCGTGAAAAGGCTTGACGAGAAGGACCAAGATCTCCAGCAGGCCTCCAAATTATGTCAACACCCATAATGCGACCGGAATGCTTTGCTTGTTTGCCTATGTCTAACACGCCGCGCATCTTCTTCCCCGTCTCCCTTCATGTCCCCCGGCTTCCTTCGTTATCGTGTGTCATCCTTATGAGAGAAGCATGTTTTGTTCAAAGCAGCGGTCAGCTCTATTCAGATTATGTTCTTTGCGTAACCCGATGAAGCGTCTTTCTCCAATGCCAAGTCTGGGTATCTTAGTTTCGACACAGTGACACTACACAGCACCATTCACGATTCCCTTCGCCACAAAGTCCCACATGTGTTCATCTGCCTGTTCAACTTCGAAATCAAATCTTGTAACATCTTCTTTGAAGGGCCAGAGGTAGGTGCTGGTCACCCTGAGGAGCTGGTCAGTATTTATCCAGAAAACAGCCGGGGACAATTACCTGTGGTGTTCAGCGCTAGCCTGGTACTCTTCAAGTGCCTTGCGGTTCTCATGAAAGCTCAGAAGTGCGAAGTGATAGCCCTTGCTTCGTTCTATTGGGTCCGTAATAGAGGGACCACCTACGACAAGACGTTGTGCTTTAACACAGGGAAGTGTCTTGAGGGTCTTGAGTTCTTTCACAAATGTTGCTTTATGTTCTTCCGACACATCGGTGCGAAACTTGAATAACACTGATGAATGTATGCATTAGCATGTTTATTAGGCTGGGGAACATCTGAATCAAAACCTCACCAATGTGAACGACAGTCATGTTGAAAGGTCTGAGTATGAAAAAAAGCAAACCTGGTCCTCCAGAAGAATAGCGAATGTAGTGATAAGTGCGAATTGTCTTCTATGGAAAAAGATTGAAATTTCAGGAAAAAGCGGCCTTTGGCAGATCTCGTTGATGAAAATTGCTCCCTGGCCTCTGGGAGGACGGACAAACCCCGCGGCCAACTGACACGATCCGCACCGCTGGCGGGAATTGTCCGTCTCCGCCATCTACCCCAGAAGCCCCACCTAGTCGCCCTCGGCGACATGAAGCATTTTCCCGACTCAATGTCGGCAAGTTAGGGAGATGACCGAGAGGATCTGTAGATTCAACAACTAAATAAGCGTCAAACGGAAGCGAGAAGATTTGCAGACCGGTAGATGTTGGTTTTCCATCCAAACTTGGCCTTCGGGTTAGCAAGTGCGTTTGCCCACTTGCAACTCCCATTTCGAGTTCATTCATGATATGGATCGCTAAGAATATATGACCGAGTGCGGCATAACAATAGAGTAAAGATTTAAATTTAAAACATTCCCCTCAGTTTTCCAACATCAGTCAAGTTCCCGATGTTAGTAAATGCTTCGTACGCCCTAGCCGCCCTGTCCTCGCCAATAGCGATGGTGACTTGGTCCATGAACTTCTTCTTCAAGTCCTCAACGGTGAGTGGGTTCTCCTGGCTACCGATTGCATTCACAATGTGTTTGTCCAACTTTGTCCCATCGCTGAAGTTCACCGTGATGAATCCTTGCGCGTTATCCACGCTTGCGTCCGTCGTCACGTTGACCTTCTTCCGCAGTTCGGCCACCGTCTGGTTCTTCACCACAACATCGGTGAACTCCTTGGGTGTCGCCTCCCCATAGAGCAAACCCACAGCTGTTGCGTGATAGATGCTGAACTTTCCCTCCAGGCCGGTCTGAGGGTCGGTCTTGCCTGTTAGGATCAAGACTTGTGGGTTGACGCGGAGCTGAACAGACTCAATGTCTGCAACGGCTTTGCCTTCTTGCAAGGTCTGGTTGTGGAGCTGGATTGCGCCGTCGATGGATGGGTGCATGACGATGCCACAAGGGAAAGGCTTGAATGTGTTCTTTTCAACCTCCCATATCTTGCCAAGTTGATCGAAGTATTCCGTTGCGTTCTCACGCGTGCTGACGACGTGAAGCCAGCCAAACTTGGCTTCAAGACCTTGCAATGAACTTGTGTAGTTGTTCTTGGCAAGTAGGGCGGCAAGCATACCGCTTTGCGCGGCCCGGCCGACGTGGAATGACTTCGTGTCTGAGCCGAAATACTCTTGCATGCCAACAACTTGGGTTGCTGCTATGCCGATGGCGTTCTGCAAAGTAGTGGTGTCAGATCCAAGAAGTCTGCTGACTGCCACTGCGGCGCCTATGGATCCAGTTGTACTCGTGATGTGCCATCCCACGTTGTAATGCTCGGGGTAGACTGACAACCCCAGCTTACACTCCGCCTCAACACCAGCTACGAAGGCGGTGATAAAATCCTGGCCGGAGACTGGGGCTTTCCACTCGGCAACAGCAAAGAGCGCGCTGGCGACGGGTCCAGCTGGATGGATGATTGTCTCCAAATGGGTATCGTCATAATCGTCAACATGTGAGGCGATGCCATTGATCAAGGCCGCTGTCTGCGCATCCGCGTACCCTGCGCTGATGGAGTCATTGGCGCCAAGGATGCTCGATGTGGGAGGACCGCTGAAGGCAGCGAGGGTGGTGTTCTGCGCAATCTGGGGTGCGTCTTGGATGTAACCCCCGATCGCGCATCCGGCCCAGTTATAAAGACTCTTAACAGCGGCATCAACCACGCCGGTTGTGAGGTTGGCGTAGGTCAGGTTCGTCGCCCACGTTGCCAGCTGGAGAGTGGCCATTTTGGATTGCTCCTGAGACGATGCGCCATCTTTGTCCTCGACGTGAGATCGCTTGTTTTTATCATCACTCGATCCTTCCATCTTCACTGACGTTTAACCGACGTCGGCGCCGAGTGGTAGCGGGGGTAATGCGAGGTTCAGCGGTTGGTCGGATTTGACGGCATTTAGACCATGTCAGCGGCAGATAGCTCTCGGATTCTGCCCGACCCTAGCAATATAGTGATTGGTAATTGGTGGCGAAGGACGAACCCCTCCGGCAATGCTGGAGATGGCGGGGTAGATTTAACTATCGGGGAAGTGATCGTCGCCCGTTCCAAGTGAGACTTGATGTTATGCTTAAAATGAAGGTACGGATTGCTTGCCAAATCAGAGTATTTCTCTATTGGCCAGCACGAAGTCGATTGTCAAGCAGGAATAACAGCTGTGCCGGCAACTCTCTTCCTATGTTTTGAATTTGTGGCAGAGGTGGTGCTGCGATTGCATCAAGTCAACGGTGCTCGCACGTGCATGAACAAAATTGAGAGCCCAGGTTCTGCTACCTCGTCAAGGATTGTGTGAAAGAAAGTTTTGGGGTTCCACTGCTAACTGTGATGTGGCGCAAGCATAGGACTTCCTACAGTTATCTTCGACAACAGGCTTGAGACAGTGCCTTCGACTTGATCTCAGTTTGCCCAGCGCCTCGCCCGCTGCCATTCAACGTTGAGTTCACCCCTCGTTCTGAGAAGATCGAGGAGATAATCAGGCAAGAAGCATCAAGGGCGGAGCTGGAGTTGAGGAAATATGATATCGCCAGCAAGGTCACTCTCGATAACAGCTCAGCAGCGAATTAATGTCGGCAAAGCGCCTCAGACGAGCTTAGCATTCGTGTGACTGTAGGCATCACGTCCTGCTCATATCCCATGGGTATCACCAGTTAGGCGCGATGTAATCGTTTAGGTGGCAAAGGAAAATAGACACTCTTCGTCATTATCTAGATGACAAACCCCATGTACTCTTCAAGTGTTTGAAAACGTATCAAAAGATCTACCTTAACTGAGATAGAAGACCGGATCGAACGCATGCATGTTGGCGAACAGACAGAACTCCGGTGGCCCAAGCTCAATCTCTTTTGCCATCTTTTCGAAGTGGCGCTTGAGAATGGATTCCATATCCTGTTTCTGCTCGTCGTTTGGATGTCGAAGGAAATACACCATGCTAATGTGGAAAGCGTATTCGTCGTGTATTGGATGCCGAATCTTAAGCTCGTCTGCAAGCCGATCCCTTAGGGCCCTCAAGCGTTCCACTTCTGCTGGCGTAATGCCGTCGAGTCGCACCGCAACCCCAACATCAAGTATATCGATTCCTTTCAACACCATTCTATATGGCGCTGCAGCCTCGGGCCCTAGGCTGAACTTTCGAAGTTTCTTCTCAAAGTGCTCATTGCATGTTTCCTGAGTGGCATCAAGGGCGAGGTCGGAAGGCCAATAACCCGGTCTACGGACCTGATCACTGACGCCTTCGAATATTGTCATATGCAAGCTGGTAGCCGGAAGGGGCGCAATGATGGACGACGTTTTGCATGACGACAAGTCTTCGATGACGGACTCTATCGAGTGATATACAGGACTTGATGGCGGGATGTGACAAATGATTGTGTTTCCCGCCCAATGTTGAAGGGTCCCATCGGAGCTGAATTTGCCGGGCACGCCTGCCGGGTAGCGGGGACGGTCATTGGCTTCCATTTGGGCCATGTAGGGCAATAATTCGCGCAGATATTCGTGCACCAGTTCAAAAGCAATTCAAAGCTGGAAGAGTTCTCTTGTTGATGAGAACCGCGTCGAACGGAAATCACGTTCGATTATGAGAGTAGGGGGGAGGCAAACATTTCTTTTATATTGCCATGTAATCAACGACCACGCATGTGAACGAAACGTTGCTCGGTGTGACACTCAAACCTGCTGTCCCTCCATTTCGAGCCGTCTAGTCTATGGAAGTTTCCGAAACTTCGCACAAAAAACCTTTAGGACAAGCAGTTGATCCCAAATGTGCCAGCCTTGCATGTGCCCGTAACTTTACGCTCGCCTCCAGGCTATATTCGAGATCATGGTCAGCAAATGAACGTCTCGTTATTATCTATGAGTACCGATGGCACATACGTTGTCTTGGCAGGTCATGGTGCAAGCAGCGCCAATGTTATTTTGGCCGCATTCAGGCACGGTCTTACATGAGGTGGAAATCGTCTCCTGCGGAGTGGCCTGCGCTGATGCTTGGCCAATGGAAATGGCAGAAAGAGCGATGACGAAGAAGAAACGCATTTTTAGCTGATTTGTGGCTGATTATCGTTCAATGTAAATCTGATCTTAGATGTGGCGGGATTTGGCACATTGGATGAAGTGAAGGAAGAGGATTTTGTTGATTTTGTAACGAAACAAACTTAGCACAGCCTCATCATCAAGTCTACTGCATGAATCAGGAGAGTGGGTTGCCGATGGGGGCAATCTATCAATAGACTGAGTTTGCCGGCGGGAGCAATCAATTTCTTGCAGTTAGATGTTGCGACGCCTAATATCGGCTAGAATTAAAGTTCAGATGACACTCGAAAGGCAAAGCATGCAGTTTTTCGCTTAGCCCTACGACAATCACAACAGCATAAACCCAATGCTGGAACAGGGCGATGTTAGCGTCTGACTTGTAGATGAAACGAAGGCCCAGCCGGGGAAATCAAGATCGACTCGGCCGATTTACATGTCCTTGTGCGCGGATTCATTTTGACGAGTGACCATGTTCGAGCAAACCAATTAGACCATATGAGTTGCCAAGATGATGGACTACGCGTAGAACTGTTCACAATGAAGTGGGGCGTCGAGGCGTCTGAGTTCATCAGCGTGACTCGGTCGTGTCGTGCCGGCCGTGCCATTCACTTGTCGCAGGTGCCAATATTGGAAATAAACCCCAAGAAATAATGACCCAAATGAAAGATGCCGACAACCTGGCCTGAAGAACTCCAAGATCAACAATAGCCGTAAGCCAACGGTTATTTGGCTATCGGGTATAGCTTGTAACTAGAGAGGTCAAGACCGAGGAGGATGGAGCCAATAAACCATAAAAAAGATCAACCGAAGGATCAGGTGTGTTATGGGTCATTCCATTCCAACCTTGAATCAGGAGTGTCACCTTTATGAGACGGCTAGGCTTCCTTATCCTGAACCTTGCACAGTTGTGTGCGAGCGTGGTCAAGGTTTCCTTGACCAGAGTTGCGGCCGCAGACGTGCAAATTGAAGCGCTGCGATCGAGGTGCTGATTCTATGGCTGGGCATCATCTCGGTGTACGCTATGCCCTGATTGTTGAATACGCTTACTTTGTTCTCTCTACCTTAGTTAAGGGTGGGTTATTTGGTAATAAATGAGCTACAGTTTGTAGTTGATAGCCATGGATGGATAACTGAGACGTGTAAAGCCTTTCGAAATGCCTGACAATTTGCCTCTTTGTTTAGCACTGTCAGAAGACTGAAGAAAGGCGTGGTGAATCGGAGGACTCCAATTAAGCTACACCAGTCCTGGAACAACGGCGAAGGTCTGATTTTCCGTGCCAGTGCCTATGATTCTTGGAGCAGCTTTTACTTACATCAAGCTTTCCGGTACTCCTGTTGCCGCCCCAAGTGCTGCCATCGTCAATGTTTTCTTATGCGTCTTCCTTCATGTTGAGGCTTGCGACACTGAATTTTTGCACGAGTACTTAAGAGACGCAAAGTGCACTTCTGTGAGTCCAAGAAAGGGTTTTATTGATTTTGATTGTATATTAGACCAACAATCCAGGGTTAATCATTCCTATCAGTCCTTCAATTTATGTCGTGTTGCCAGCCCGTTGTCTGTGACGTTTATTGAGATTGCTTTTCTATCACCATTCCCGAAGCGATTTATACAATTTCAAATACTTGCAGATACTTTCTGGCTCAGTCAAAACGCGTGGATCAATAGTCTTACGAACATATTGAATCTTGCGACGTGTATACCAGCGCCAGGCAAGTTGCCATGCTTCCAAGACTTCCTCGATCTCAGAGATTCGAAACGTGGCCGCGACTGTAATCTTAATTGCGTACTTCGCAACTTCGCATCTGAAAAAGAAGCCTTGGCCTCTACCTGGGCTCCAAACCTCCAAAATCTGCAGCATACTCATGTAAGAAGCTGCGTGAGCCGCGACTTTGAGCATATTATATATCTGCGGTAAATTGACATTTCCATACTGTATGCGATAAGTCAGAGCTACATGTTGAAGAAGAGGTTTCGACTGAGTCTGCGAAGCCTTTTCCACAAATCCTTTGAAAAAGTCTGTGGCGTCTATTGCGTGAGAGATTGCCAAATGCCGCAGCGTGAAGCTGGCTCGCGCTGCCTGCTTGGCGAGCTTGTCGTTTGTTGGGGGCCACAGCCACATCATCTTGGAATAACATATGACTCCATGTAGCTCCCAGGATTGAGCTTCCCATAAGGTCACCCTGCGTACTTTGGCACCAAGATTCCGGAATAGGCTTGTATTTGCCTCCTCTCGCTCGCTCTGGAACCTTAAAGGAATGGCAAGCCACGGCTCATAGTTGATATGGCTGAGACGCGGCAGCCCCTTCAGAATATCTGATAAAGCCTTTTCGGAGAGGCTTCGATAGAGCCTCTGGGTGACGAAAAGCTCGGCGATCACGTTGACTTTGGGCAGTTCGAAATATGGATCATCGCAGAAAGATAACCAGTCGGTGTTCAGGAGGTTACCAAGGAGCCGTATTTTAGCGCCATAAGGCGAGTATCCATGCGGTTGCAGATTGCGAAGACGCCCATGATATCTCGGAGGTGAGTGGTATAGTTCATCGCGAGGTGAGCTGGCACTCAGTTCAAGCGTGATTGCAGGCCTTGGAGGCTCGACGACCCATGTAGAAAGATGATGAAAGAGCGCATGGAGAGCTGCGGAAAATTTTGAATTGTTTTCGAACTTGGTATATCCGCTTTCCGCCACACTGCGGTCACCATGGGGGTATATGTTCAAGTCCACATGAAGCAAGATCTTGTGCACCAGCTTTCTTCGGTGACCGCTGACGTTCTCACTGAACCCATCAAAATTTGACCTGGAAACAAATGGCCGTATACTCAAAGTATGCCAGAGAATGGGTTCGAAGAATTTGTGCCAATGTTTTGACACAGCAGCCCAGTTGCCTACTAAACGCTTTCTAGTAGGCGAAACTTGCTTCTCCAGCTCTTCCATGATCATGAGTAGGATATCCGGTGGAAGCCTTGGAGACATAGGATCTGACCGAGAGGCTTCCCGCCTCCAGCTCCTAGTTTCGGATCGCAATTTCATTGTGTTTGCCGTATAAGTTGACTTGTGCAAGAAAACGAAAGATTGTTGGACTAATTATGTGTGCAACTGGGTTTGGGCAGTCTCGAGCGGATTTTCTATATATTTATTATGAAAAGACTCTATCGGAGATGGTTCCTCTGCGCCTCACACCTTTACCATAATCCTATACGGCTGGTCTGGTGTTGTCAAGGTTCTCGTGAAGTTATGAGCTGGTCACACCGCTAAAGGTTGCCCTTCATGGTCACCTCATCGCGACCTTCGATTTAACAAAGGTTCCCCAAAGGTTGCCAATGCACAAATTGACACAGCTTTTAAGTATCGTGTTGGTTTATGCGCGTACAGCAAGCGGCAGGCCAACGAAGCACTGATCGGAAGGTCTGATTTCCGCCATGGCCCACCTAGACTATGCTACCAAACCCCGCCCTACTTCTTCTGTATATTACAGTGTGGGTATCTTCCATAGGTAGTCTCATCAAGATTATTGCTGGTGTTTACTTTTCGATTTTCGGTGCATGAGTGGTTGACCGACCACGCAGGTACTGGTGGATGGACACCGCGCTGGGCAGGTTTATGAGCCAGTGCTGGCGATATAATCTTTACCATTGCAATAGCCATCATAATCTTGAGCAAAATCGAAACCCAAATGAAGGCCAACTCTTATTTATTCACGCTGACTACGGCAAGAAGGAATCAAGTAGCTGGTACGAACATGTAACAGGCCAGCAGCTCGCATTTCTACCATGTGTGGTCGAAAGAGGTCCTTTGCAGTATCAACGACAAAGATCATAGGTATGCAGCTGAACGACTAGTGAGGAGACCTCCGTGTCAAACTTGACTTGTCAACTGGAGCGAATTTGAACTTCATTTATGCACCGTGGTAACCCACTGCTTTGATAGACAATACTGATACTCAAGAGTTTGCTATCTGGACGGATACTTAGGCTGACTCCTACTTATTTAAGTTATAGTTTCCTCCGTTATTCATCTGATACTATTCATAGTACTATTAGTATGACCTTCATTGTGGTTATTCTTAGGTCATTGAGTTACAAACTAAGAACCTGGTACATACCTAGTACATATGCTGCGTAGAGTACAAGAAGACGATTCAAACTTCAAAATAATAGTAATTGAGTCAGAATTCCATTTCCAGTGACGCTTATGTGTTGCTAAGTATCAAATCCCTACTGAAAGTCCATCTTTGTGATGCCAATTAGCACGCGGAGACAACAGCATCATCCCGCTAGACCTTCGTTTCCTTCTCGCTGGACACCTCAACATGCATCATATCATCCCCCTTGACATCTTGAACACTGCTCGTCTCGGTCGTCGTCTTGTACTTGCCCAACTTGATATCACGGCGCCAGAGGTATTGGCCAAGCATGAACAGCGCCCACCACGTTGCCACGAACGTCGTATTGACGATGAATCCCTTGCGCCACTTTGGAGCTGTGAGAAGTGTCAGCAACAGAGCCTTCGTGAGCTTTCCGGTGCCGTGCTTAGGGTTAGCTTACCTTCGACGACAGGGAATACGGTGATGGGGTAAAAGCTGAAAAAGATCCAGCCGCAGGTCATCTACGCCCAATAGTCAGAATGGTCATTGTGTTTTGATTCAAGAATTACTCACCATAGCACCTGTGGTAAATGCTCTGGCCTCGTTATCGTCCTTCATAACCATGCTGACCCATGGGAACAGAATTGGCGTAACACAGCTCGTGAGTCCGAGCATATAGTATACGGCAACTTAGAGACAGTTCAGATTTAGATACGGAACATCCTGACATTGTAGATTACAGGGTGAAACTTACAGTGCAATCCGAGAGGAATGTCCCAGATCAACAAGCAAAGATTTGCGAAAAAGAGTACTGCAGCCACGACGCACATGACGCACCAAATTGGGTAGATCATGCACAGCGAAGTTGCAAGGACTCCCGCAACGATTGCAATGGCCTGTACACCAGTGGGAATTGTGTTGATCTGAGCGACAGTCCAGGTCCCGTTCAAGTCCGCTTCGTGCTTCAGCCAAAGAGCCATCTGACCGGAGACATAGGAGGTGCATTGGAAGCTATGGCATATTAGCAAAGTCAGTTCCAACAACGCGAGGCATTGGAGACTCACAAGATGTAGGTGAGGACAGCAACATAAAAGTGCCAGTGGGTGAAAACCCGCTTGAGCATCCGCTTCCCAATTTTCTTGCTCTCCTTCACACCATCATCTCTCATCCGCGCTTGCGCAAGCTTCTGCTCGGCCTCGGTAAGCCACCAAACCTTGGGGCTAGTAGGAAGACCGGGGAAGAGGAAGTATCCCGCGATCGAGATTGGCAGACTGATGACACCGTCGATGATGAACAACCATCTCCAGCCAGACATGCCGTGGACGCCGCTCAGGTTGTTGTACGCGGCGGCCTGAAGGTATCCTCCGAACATAGCGCCGACATTCGAGCTCACGTACCAGACTCCGGCACGCTTGAAAAGCTCGTCGCCTCGATACCAGGAGGTGAGGAGGTATATTGCGCCAGTGGCGGCGGGTGTCTCGAGGACGCCGAGGAGGAATCGGATGCCGTAGATGTCGTATTCGTTGCGCAGGCGACACTGGACGAAAGTGACGATTGACCACAGGCACTCCATGGTTGGGAGATAGTAGCGTGTGATGTGCGGGCGGGAGATGATCATCATTGAGGGGATCTCGAAAACTAGATAGCCGATGTTATAGAAGGTGCCGAAGAGGGAATATCTGGGGCACATGTCAGTTTACTTCTTAGAGATGCCATTTCAGACTTACTGGTTTCCCTTCAAGCCAAGTTCTTCCTTCATGCCGGAAACATATGCATGATTGATGTTGGCGGAGTCGAGCCACTTCAAGAAGACTTCGCTGCGTCAGTCCGACTTTATAAATATTATGAGCGCATGGATACTCACACATCAAGCAACAGAGACTGAGCAGTACACTGTCCAACTGTTAAACCGTTAGAGACATCGAAGCTGCCAGAGACTTCAACACTCTACCTTGCGGAGCAACCGCTTCTCTTCTTTGGAGTAGTGGCTGGGATACCAGTCGAAGATATACAGCCAGGCCACCCAGAGAGATCTTGTCTGTGGTTTGGCTGTGGAAGAGCTCACTACGGGCTCATTGTCATCTAGCGGTTTCGTGATGGGGACCGGATTGGCAGTCCCCGCGGTTCTGTCTAGACTGACTCTATCCCCCATGTTGGGATCTGTCAGATGGCCGTTGTTGTGTTTCGGTCAAGCTATCTTCAGCTTCAAGACCCAGGGAGGTCGGGGTTAGGAGGAGTCTTGTGAATCTTGTTGAATTGATATTGAGTGAAAATCTGACGATGCAACGCCGTCCTTTATATCAATTGAAGCAATCCCAGCCATCACACCAGCCTGGCATCGACAGGGTCGCAATGGAGTAGTCCGTGGGCTTGTTCAGGCTAGTCAACCAACAGACAAGTCACCTCGTGCTGCATGCAAATGTTGTCTGTCCCCCTAATTCCCCCGCAAATCCTCCCTCGAAGAGAGATAGGCCTAGATGCGGGGTGTGGAGAACCGGGGAAGCAAGTCGCGAGCCACTACCAGGGTCTGCAATGCATCCTTCGGAGGAATGCCCTCGGGGGTATGGGACATGTTTACCCCGACCACTGCATGTAAGTCAAACGATCGACAAAGCATACATCGCGAACTGATTGAACCGAGAGATCGGCCGTGATCCGACGAGAGGAATGCGAATCTTCGCTTCGACGGGCCGTACATCGTATTCGTCTCAAGCTGCGATTGATTACCAATGGCGCAATGTTGAAGGGCTGAGTACTAAAGTACAACGATGGCTCTACCATTGAACACCTCAACTTCACGTACACATGACCTGAGAGACGAATATTCACCATCTTTGCGTCATCGTCGCATCTTTCCAACATGTTCGAACCTACGGAAATCATGGGCGCATGTGTCCACGAGAAAGCACCAACGACCTCAAGGGACTTAGACCCGCGTCGACACGACGGCCTGTCTTCTGAGCCACCAACATCACCCACACAAGAGGACCTCTCCATGGACCAAACCAGCGAGACTTCATGGTCCGAAGCTGCCGAGCCTGAGGAGCTGGGCTCTTCACAACCACACCCCACGCTTGCAAGTCGCCTTCACGAGCTCTTCGAAGAAAGCATTACAGCCAAGATTTGCCGCACCGCAACTAAATCTCTCGAAGACAAGCTCATATACACCTCGAACGAAGTGCGCAAGACTCCGATAGCCTTCCCCGAGATTGTTCCACAAGAGGGTCCGCACACCGGCCAGTACGAGTTTCGCGACCCGGACTTCTGGACATGCGGCTTCTTCCCGGGGACACTGTACGCCCTATTGGAGCGCACCATCAAGTACCCGCAGACCATGCATCTTCAGAACGCAGGGTCGCAGCTCGACGTTGCAAGCCTGCGCGCGCATCTGCAGAACTTATGCAGCATCTGGGCTGATCCCCTGCATGGCATGGCTAGCAGGACGGATACCCACGACATTGGGTTCATTATCATGCCCGCTCTTCAAAGAGACTGGGAGCTTACCGCTAATCAGAGGAGTCTTGAGTCTATCGTTCGGGCTGCTCACAGTCTGGCAACTCGATATATCCCCTCCGCGGGCGCGATTCGCAGTTGGGATTGTCTTCTTAAGAAGGATATCACAGTCACCGACATGAACACCAATCTCCTCGCCATCATTGATAGTCTCTGCAACCTAGATCTTCTCTACTACGCATCTGCGCATACAGGAGACACGTCTCTGGCAGATATCGCAACCACGCACGCACGCACGCTTCTCCGCACCCACTTCCGGCCAGAATCTGCCAGGACGTTGGCCAAGGACGGGTACAAAGGCCAGCTTTACTCAACATGCCATGTATCCAACATCGATCCAGCTACCGGAGATCTAAAATGGAGATGGACGGCACAGGGGTACTCTAACGATTCGACCTGGAGTCGCGGGCAGGCATGGGCAATCCTAGGGTATGCTCAAACATACCTATGGACAAAGGACAGGGTATTCCTGGAGGCAGCATGTGGGGTGGCAGAGTACTTCTTGTACAGACTCGACACCGCACCAGCTTGCGTGGATATTCCAGTCTTCAGTCACGATGACATCCTTGTCGATGGTACAGAGAGACGGACCAAGGGTCGCAGGGTCCCCCTCTGGGACTTCGACGCCCCTGTTCAAGACCTATCGAACCCCCTTCGAGACTCTTCGGCCGGGGTAATCGCCGCAAATGGCATGCTGCTACTTTCCCAGGCCCTGAGAAGCGTTCAACAGCACTCCCTAAGCCGCAGATTCTTCGACGCGGCCATTGAAATCGTCACGGATACCATCGACCACTCACTCGCCACTGAGAAGGCCCAGTTCACCAGAGACGACATCCATAGAGGCATCACAATAGAGGACTCGACAGCCGGAAAGTACTTTGATGGTATCCTCAAACACGGCACCGCAAACAACAACGAGAACGCGAGGCGCAGGTACGCCAACCACGGTCTTGTGTACGGGGACTACTACTTCGTGGAGTTCGGAAACAGGCTTTTGAACATGAGCATGGTATAGACACGGCTATTGATGTACAAGTAGGCAGAAATAGAGATGATTACAAGTTTACCACCCGCCGCCTTCGTATTCGGTGCCGAAAATTCCGTCGTCGAAGCTGATGATCCGGTCCATGTCGACGAATTGCTGGTCGAGGAGCATTTGAGATATGCTGCTGAGTTCGCCGCTTCCTACGCTGCTTCTGTGAAAGATATTGGACTGGGTCATTGTCTCCACGCCGTTCTCCTCCATCGCTGGGTGAACGATGATTCCGCCCGAGTTTGGGTTGGGATTTACGACTGGAGGGGCGAATTGCTGAGCGACCACTATGCTGTCGGTATTGGGGGCCATGCCCTGTCGTGGCTCTGTCGCCGGTAACAACTTAGGATCAACTCTTGCGTTGTTCAATCTTTGATTGGATGCGGTTTGGTTTGCGGCACCGTTCCGAGCTGGTTGCGGGAATACTGGCGGATCCTTGGAGCTGGTGTGGTCGATCTCGGTGGTGTACCCTAACACATTGATGTTGTACGATGCATCCTCGCGACATCGGGAATGCATCTCGGTGAGTTTCCGAGAATACTTGCCGGCCAAGTTGTCCCTTGCCGGCTCGAGACTATGAGGACCAGCCCACCGGCCGGCCATCTCGTCGAGGATCTGGACCAGAGACCAGAACTCGGGCACCAGCTCCCCGCCCAGATCATACTTCCATCGAAGGAGTAACACCCTGGCAGCCACGTAAATACAGAACGCAAATTGGCTGGACACAGGCATCGTCGGCGGGGCATGCTTCAGGTAATTCTCCGCAATGATGGCGATCTCGACAGCTGCAGCTTGGCACGTGTCGATGCTCAAAATACTCGGCAACCGAGCCCGGAAAGCCCACTCCCGCGGCGGGAACGCGATGAGCTGGTGGAGTAGGATCATGGACGTGTTGTGCGTGACGTGCGCCAGCGTTAGGTTCGGGTCCATGCGCGTCGACTGGCGGGCCATGTTCGCCTTCCACTTCTGCGGGAGCAGCATCTTCCAATGCACTAGGCGCAGGTCGAGCTCCTTGAAGCGGGTGAGCCAGCTGCTGATGTCCCGCTGGTCTCGCATGTTGACCTTTTGCTGGAGGAAGTAGCTCGTGACGCGGCTGAGAGACTCGGTTGCTTCGATGCAGTAGGCGAAAGCGCCGACGGTGGACATGTCGACGCTGGGGATCTGGGCCCCGGGGGAGGTACCGGCCTCGGATGGGGTCTGGGTCTCTTCTTCGGTGGTGATTTGGGATGTTTGGGCGTAGTGTGAGGGTATGAAGGCGATCGGATTTCCGATGCGCCCGGCGGCTTTGTCCCATATGCCGAAGTACGGGGTGACGACTCGGTCTTCTTTTCTCCAGAGGACGCCGTCGCATGGGAGGCGGCAGTGGACGTCGTCGGAGGTGAGGCTGGTGTTCCAACCCATGGTGACGGAGATGAGTCGGTCGAGTTTGAATACGTTCCAAAAGACCCGCCTCCGCTCCTCGGCTTCGGTCCAGTTATCTGGTGGCGGCAACGAAACGAAAGGTTGAGATAGGGAAAGTCTCTCCGCGTCGTCATGCTCGATTGTGAGTTGAAGGTACTCGACGGTCCGTGTAAGTGAGCCTACGAGAGACCAGGCTTGAGCCGCCTCGCCGCTTCCGATCTGCAAGGGCTAGTCAGCTATAGTCGCGAGCAGTGAGCAGAGAAACCTTACGTCATTGAAGGCGACAATGATTAGAGCCTGTAGACTTTCGACGGTGAGATGTTTCATTGCTTGGGACACGACCCAGTCTCTTGCCATCACTCGCTGTTGCGGGTTTCCAAAGGCAGTCGTGGCGGTATCCTCATCAGCAATATACCGGGAACCGGCTAAGACCATCGCGTGTAACACCACCCTCAATGCTTCGAAATCATGAGGCTCAGCAAGTCGTCGACGGAATGTAGCTTCATGTAAGATTGGGATCCACGGATGAACGTGTGAGAAGTAGGCTTGGAATACGACTTGAAGGATCTCTTCCTCCGGCAGAACTAGCATATTGCTACCACGTGAAGGATATGCTTCATCATGATTTTCGAGACGACGACGCTTCGTCCGTGGTAGCTGGTCATCCCCCCCTTGGAGATGTGCTCCGCTGATTGGCCTAGAGGACTTTGCGTTGAACTTCTGTAGCTCTTTGGCGAAGAATGACATGATGTTGTAAGCATTCTTCTCAAGATCGGTAGTACTACCAGGGGTGTCTCGATTGGGAGACGTATCCGACCCAGACTGTCTTCGGTCCGGGGGATTCGCCCTCTGCTGGTGAACAGTTCTCTCCAAGGCATCTGAAATAACTCGTCAACCATTGAACCACGCAACTGTGACCAAGAGACTGACCCAGTCTGCGATGGAGATTCTCAATAGCCCCGGCCTTCATCCCAGGCTTGGATCTCTTGGACTCATACACGCATTCACTTCCTACAACGAATCAGTTACCAAAACAGGAAGCCCAACATCCTATCAGACCCACCAGTTTTGCGGCACTGCTGACAATTCGGCACCTCCCGGGAGCATCGCAGCTTGCGGCGCCGGCAGCAGTTGCAAGCCAGGGCCGCCGCGGCCTCCGAGGCGCCGCCGGAGTCGTCATGGGCCGCGTCGGTGGCTTCGCCTTGGTGGCCAAGCTCTGCTCCGTTATCCATGACCAGACATTGGACGAGACTGCTGACTGGAACCACAGATTGCGGGTTTGTGGTAGTTGGGCCCGCGTGATGTAGGGCGGAGGCTGGTGTAGTTATGGTTCCATGTCAGATTGCCCGTCTCCCGCTCGAGATGGCCCGAAAGGCCGAGGCGCCCCGCAACGCTCCCCGCATTTCCAGCGGCATGGGTCTCCGGGTCTGTGGGGTGACAGTCCGGGGAAGCGGAGAGATGGGATAAAAATGTCTAGAAATTGGTGCTTAAGATGTTTTGGAAGAGATATATCGTACGTACAAGATTGAGGCGGGTGCCACATGGTTTATATGTTCAAGTTAGTCTTACACTGAGTCGTAGAACCTCCATTTAGCCGTGTAATCTGGGGTCAGCGGCTTGTTCAGCACAAGCGCTCGCAGCAGCTCGATCGGCATCGTATTCGCTCTCAAGATCTTGTCGTGGAGCTCCTTCTCGCCCATCAACCCCTTCATCAATGCCTCCTCCCTTAGGCCGTACATCTGGAACGCGCCCAGCATGTATCCTGCCTGGTAAAGCGGCGAGTATTCGCCTCCAAATGATCTCGTGACCTCGCCTTCAGCGTTGGAACGCTCGTGTCCGACCCAGTCGACGAGCAAATCGACACACTCTTGAGGTGTCATTTCGCCCAAGTGGTACTTGAGTGAGAAGATGATTCGAGCGCATCGATGCATGCGCCAGAAGAGGGTACCGATCTTGTCTTCGGGGGAGACGAAGAAGTCGCCTCTGTTCCAGAAGACGAACTCCCAATACATGGCCCAACCCTCCACAAAGAACGGCGTCTCGAAGAGCTTCCTGTACGGGTGGTGGCGCTTCGCCATAAACAGCTGAAGTCGGTGCCCCGGGATGAGCTCGTGGAACGCCGTCGCTCGAGAGAAGTGGGGGTTGTTCCCGCGCATCACCATCATCTTCAAGTCGTGATCCATCTCTGCGGTGGGATAAGAGACAAGAATCGAAGGTCCACCAAGGAAGAATGGCGACTCCTTCTGGCGCTCCGCTGAGATCATGAACATGCGCCACGTCTCAGCGGCAACGCTGGGGACCGTGACAAGGTCATGTTTGGTAACGAAATCCTCGCCCTCGCGAGCCAGCTGTCGAACAAGCTCTGGTTGTTGACCAGGTTCGACATAACTGTTCTTGACATACTCGAGCGCAGCCTTCCAGTTGTCGCCAAACCCCGGTGAGCCGTCGTCAGCTTGATCGCTGTGAAAGAGATATTAGTTCCTTTTCTGGAAATCGTATCGGTGGTACCTACGCCGATACGGTGGCATCCGGCCCAATGGAGCCCACTTGGTCGCGTTTGATGCTCCTTGAAGCCTTCTTCATTTCCCTCTCGCACCAATCGTACTGTTCTTTAGCCAGTTTGAGGAGCTCTTCAGGCGTGTAGGGGATCATTTCCGCTTCGAGCTCATTGAGCAGGCCATCACGCCCAATCGGTTCGACTGCAGCACGGATAGACCCGGGCCCAGTTTTCTCGTTCAACTTGGCCTCCAATGCGGCCTTTATTCCCGCGAGGGCTTCATCAAAGCTCTTCTTTGGTGCCTCATTCCACCATGGGAAGAGTGGGTCGTATGGAGAGTAAAAGCCATAAAGCTCGTCGACATGGCCGCGAAGCTGGTCAACTGTGCTCATGGCCCTAGCAAAGGTTGATTCGTTCGCCTTGATATCGTTTGATAGAATGGCCTTGGTTGTTTCCTGGACTTTTTTGGTGGTATTATTGAGGATCATGGCGGTCTGCTTGCTGTCTACGGGGACCAGACGCTGACGGTCCTCGACCATGTCGATGATGGTCTGGGTGAAGGGCAAGACCGGGCGAACCTGCTCATCTCGCTGGCGGTCTAATTCCAGTACACGTAGGTTGCGCCTGAGATAGTTTCGAAGGAGCAAAAAGTCCACCTTGTCTTCTTGATTATAAGTATCAAAGGGCGCCTTAAACAGATCGTCGAGTTCCTCAGAGTAGTACTTCTTCAATCGATGGTACCGGGTTGGTGAGAATTTGATGCTGTAAAATTTAAACAGGTTCTTCTCATCAAAGCTGACCCGCTGGATGCGCTCCGTCATTGACTCTGACTCGGCCGTGGCGGCCACAGTCGGGGCATGTTGTCCATCATTAAGGTCAACCCAGTCGCCGTCAGAATGGCTGGACGGGTTCAAACGCACGGGCAAAGCATGAGTCGCCATGGTCGATGGAGATTGCGTGACAGATCGAAAGCCAAGAGATGAGGTTGAGTACCAAGACGTTGGATCCAGCAATGACGATGACAGATGCGGGGGAGCAGAGGTTAAAGACAAGACACGGAGGCGGGACAAGAAACTGTGGGCGTCGCGGGGTGGCTTATCGGTGCCGGGAGGGATGCCGGTGTCTGGGACAGGGGCGGGAGAGGAAATAGGTGGGGCCGATAGCGACCGTAGTGGAAAGGTGCGCTGAAGCGAAGCATTTTTGGCAGCAGCGGGCCCCCTGTAATTCTCCTCGTGGTGCTTATCACGGACCATCTGGGGAAACCTTCATCGTGAACCTCCGAACTCACCGCCGATCTTCGGTCGGCTGATCCGGCCGAGATAGCCCACCTGCGTCGCAACGACTTCATCCATCTCACATGACTTCGCGACCATCTCGAGTCAGAAGAGGCTCACCAGCTCAATTTTCCCGCGTTCATGAAGGTTCCCACAGACATCTTTGACCCTCATGCTGTTCCAGCCCCTTACTGAGTGGTGGCGCGTTGAAGTTGATGATGGCGCCCTGAGCAACGGTACACACAGGACGTGAAGCTTTCATCTTGTTTCCATACGAATGAGCGCGGAATATTCTGTCTACATCCATCGCGTTCTGGTGTCTTTGGCTTTGACAAAAACATGAGATTCGAGCTGATTGGGCTACATGGCAGGTCGCCTTCTCGAATCTCGGGACCGAGAAGAGCGAGCGCTTCATTCAGGGGCAAAGCCAGGCAGCACAGCCCGAATGCCTGGTTTCCTCCTTGCTTTTTCAATGGGATTTTTGATCCATTGGCCTTACCAACACAAACAAAAACCAGCGCAATTCCAAAGTGCTCAAGCTAGCAAATACCATCATGCAAGGATCGAGATCCCAGTTCGGGTACATGTCCCCCGCCTCATTCGCCCGTTCTGGACCAGTCTCGCGGCGGAATCCCGTCAGGGGGAGGCACAGTCCTCTTTTGGTCCTTCACGAAATCCGCGTTATTATTCAAGCATACCTTCAAAATACGGGACTACAAACTAGCCCCGTTTGCTGGGGCCGTCACACAAGAATTGCTTTATCCATCAAACGGATGAATCGGCGCCAAAACTACATGAATACGGGATCCGTCGGCAAACTTCTGAGACAGATCATCACAGCCACATCGTCACGAAAACCGTTGAAGTGCCCGTGAAAGGATGCTCTAAATCACCGCTAGGACGATTTCCGAGATGAGGTGGCGCGCGAATCCCGTCGCGCGACCCGCTTAGTATCGTCTAGGGGCGCCGCTGGGCCTGGAGCTAAGCCATAAGGCAGGTGTTGATCTTGGGTTGAAATTCTTGATAAATGGATCTCTGGAACGACGAGCACAACATATTTCCCCTTCTCTCTATCCGTCCTCGACAGCCTGGCATCTAATACCTGAAGACTCCATCACCGGATCACTACACTCTTTTACATCCAAATCAAGCATAATCACTTTCGTTAATACCGTTAATACAGTACACCCAAGCCAACCAACCTTCAAGATGTCTTTCAGATACCTCGCCACCATGGCCATCCTGGCCTCCACCGCTCTGGCCAAGACCGACCTCACCGGCTGCACATCCTCCGACTCGGTCGTCACGCCTTCCGGCGGCGGCACTCCCTACGCAACCCGCGTCTACTACGTCCCCGACACCGGCGAGATCTGCGCCGCTCTCGACTGCGGTGGCGGCCGCGCCCCTCCCAAGACGACCGTCCCGGGATGCCCTTCCTACGAGGGTACCGAGACCTACTCCCCGTCCTTCCTGCCCCTCAAGACCACCTCCGCCGTTGTCGCCCAGTCTACCCAGGCCACCGTCACGACCATGACCCCCAAGGGTGACTCGACTGCTTCGGCCTCGGGCTCCGCCTCCGTCACCGCGGCGGCCGACAGCAGCTCCATGAGCGGCAGCAAGTCGGACGACGTCCAGGTCCAGACCGACACCCTCCTGACCGTCACCAGCTCCATGGCGGCCACTACCGCGGCACCCGGCAACGGCACCATTGCTACGACTGGCAGGTCTGGCAGCAGGACGACTGGCACCGGCGCTGGCGCCTCCGGCTCGCCTACCAGCGTTCCCAACGGCGCTGCCGCTGGCGTGTCCAACATGTTCGGCCTCATGGCTGGTGTTGCCCTCGGTGCGGCTGCGTTGCTGTAGATGGCTAGCTTGTCAAAATGTGGTTGTATTATGAGCCCTCCGCGATTTCTCGCGATGTACAGGTCTCGGTCCTTGTTCATAGACATTGTAATCGGATAATACAAAAAGACCCAGTTACCATTCTATCCCACCTGCCCACCTGCGTAGAAGTTTGGAACTCGTTGCAGCAGTGATTCGTACTCCTGGTCGGCGTTCGTGAACTCCCAGCCACCGTCGAGCCCGTTGCTCCGCCCCTGTTCCAAGCGAAATCCGTACACGTTGGTCCATGACCACTTGTCGATCTTTCGCGTCTTGGGGTAAATCTCGAATGAGACGAAGCAGATTGCGCTCTCTGCGGAGACGACCTCGACTCTTCCGCCGCGAGGTCTGATGTCGGTGCCGATGCCGCTTTGGTTTAGCAGTCGGAGTTGTTTGAAGACGCCTGGTACTGGGTCATCAGGCAAGACTGTGACCTCTCCGAGTGTAAAGCTGGTAAAGTTCGTGAGGTAGAAAGCTGCTAACGAGGCAGCGACCTCTTGTAGGGGAACGGAGGTGTTTCCGCCCTTTTCCGTGGCAAGGCCGTAGGCTGTGATGGCGGCGCGGGCTGCTTCTCTGATGT